TCACACCCACAAGCTCCTTAGTCGAACCTATCTGTGTGCCTATTATTATTATTATATTTGGCTGTAGTCAGGCGCCTAGCCTTAACGAGCGTTACACAGAGGCTTCTTTCTGAAAAGGGGACACATTTATGATGGAAAACCGCAACATGTTGACGGTAATTCCATCAAATTCTGGTATTTAAGCTTCTCTGTTAGATCTTCTCTATTTCTGTTTATGTTTAATGAGATCAGGAAGGCATGTATGGTTCCCTAAGCGCTGACTGGAGAGATGTAATTGCATAACAGCAACAGTCTGAAACTAAATAAAAATCCTGCAGTGCTAATTTATTTTTGATGGTCTCTTTAGCAGTTCTTCAGTATGAGTTTCACCTCAGGATAAGAATCTCTCAGGTTTAACTATGACTCACACAAAAACCGTAAAGCTTTGATAATTGTGAATAAGTTTTGAAGCGACAGCACACTGTCACATATTTTCCCACCCACCTTCCTGATTTTTCTCATGTGGCCTAATTGAAATGGAACCTGAAATCATATATTCAGCTGGTAACTATGTTTGTCTCTGCACAGGAATGAGGTGAAGCAAAGTAAAAGAAAAAGCAGCAGAAATACTGAAATCGGAAACTTGCTCTTGCAGAATAAATTGACATAAGTACTGCCGGATGTGACAGGATGAGCATTTAGGCTTAAGCCAACATGACGCCTTTAACATGAACCTGTGAGTCGTCAGCGACTTTATGAAGCCATTTGACTCATGAGTTTTCATTTTCACTTCATCACAATTTTTGTGAATTTTGCAATTCACAATAATAATCCTTTAGGTTAAATAATCATTGAATAAAAATGCAGTGGGTGATTTTTGTGCCAATCAAAACATCCAAACTTTCATTACGATGGATTTAAATTAAACGTATATTTATCCATCTCCCTTTCCTTCACTACTGTGTCCTCCTCCTCACCATTGTTGCTCCTCTTGTGCAGCTCCTCCTTGCCGTTCTTGATGCTGCTGCCTGTTGCGGTCCTCCGGGCCGAGGAGCTTTTGCTGGTGTTCAGCTTCCCTGAGCTGTTACTCGACACCGAACCATCCTCCTCACTTGGCAACCGTCTGTAGTGGCCATGGCAACAGAGAGACAAGGGAGAGATAGTAGAAGAGGAAGGGGGGGTGGGAAGAGTGAGGCTTGTGAGTGTGTACACAAAATGGGCATCATTTCACAGTTATTACTGGCAGCAGACTATCAACTTTAATTACAAGTGAGAAAACAATGTTAGTGGGTAATTAGCAACAAGAATAATTCAAAAGGGCTTTAGAAAGAAACATGTTCAAAAAGTCTACAAAGCAGCTACAAGGATGAAAGCGAAAGAGAGATAAAACTTCAATTTCTGGTAAGTTATTTAAATCTGAAAACATTCCGAAAATTTGAACCAGTGTATTCTTTCGAAGAAGAATTTGAAATTTTGAGAGACAAGTAAAGAATAGTTGGAGAGAGGGATGACCTCATTTAAACCTCGAGAACATTTTGAATCACTAAAACATGCAGGTTTTTGGTGTTTTATTTAGTTTTTCTTACTAACAAAAGGAATTGTTGAATACTGTATGGGCGAAACAGTAATGGTTTTGACAGATTTTTACAAATACAGTTCTTAATGCATTTGCATTTGGTCTCATTTTACTCTGACGCCTCTAAATAAAGTAAATTAATTTCTTAACACATAGTTGACTGAATAAACTGAGTCTGCCTGTGTCTTACTAAATTACCGACGTTCTTTGAAGGCCTAAAGCGTTTGTTACAGAATATTTGAAAGCATCATGATGACCAGTGTAACACAGCAGACGGGCCAGGGATAAAGTTTAAGGCATTGTTAGGTCAGAAAATAATAACCCAACATTACTTATCAAAAACCTTTGAGCTTTTTCAGAGAACAATCTAACATATGTGGTAACTCTGGAGAAGCTGCAGAGTTAATGTGTTATCGTTTTAACACATTTTGGACAATGTGTTAAAACGATAACTATCAGTTGTTTGTTCCACAAACCTGGACTTTATAAAGGAGTGCTTTGAATGGTTTAAATTATGTACAACATGGAAAAATCTGTGTGGTGGAAAAGTAACACTGTGCACACAACATCCCCATGGAGAAACATGCTGATGGCAGAATCATCCTGTGGAGATTTGTGTGTGTGTATGTTTTTATTACAGGGTAGGGAAGTTGGTCTGACTTGATAGGAAAATGGATTGAGCCAATTTCAGGCTAATCTTGGAGTAAAACAAGGGCAGAACCTTTTATCTGGAGAGGAACCTTTAGCATACACCGAGGGACACGAAGGCATGTTTATGTGTGACACTGGCCCAGTAAAATGCAGACCCAAAATTTTCATTGTAACATTACAAAATGTAGAAACATTTGAGGGGTATGAATGCTTTTGTGAGGTCCTATACTTTCAAAGTATTTAAATCAGGACGTTGTGATGATTAATCTCAATTACAACACCTAGTTGAACATGTATGGGTAAAAAATGCGGGTTGAAGACAAATTTTCGTCATAGACATACGGCTTACTGAATCGAAGCCACAAATAATTAAAGCGCTTCTTAAAGCAAAAGGAGGTCCAAACAGGTTCTAGGTGAGGCACAGCTAAAAAAAAATGTAACCAGTAAACATGAAGATTTGTTTTCACTTTTTTTTTTCCTGTTTGCTTCAAACGCACACGCAAACTCACACACACAGTGGACACACACATGCACACCCAGGGTTATGTAAGCTACAGGAACCTCACTACATGACAGGCTTGTCTACAGGTGCTGTGAGACCCACGTATCAGCGAGACCAAAAATGGCAGAACCACAGGCGAGGCAAATGTGTAGCTTACATGTATACAAGTTCACACAGTTATTACGCACGCGCACACACACACACACACACACTGTGCAGCCATAGCAGTAGCCAGCGATTGGCTGCACTACAATAAAAGTCATGTGGTATCCAGAAAAGAGCCGGAGGGATGGAAGACAACATACAACGTGAGAGCCATGTAAATCTGTTTGTGAAGGCCAGAGAGGGGAGCAGAAGAATCGGTAATCACACTGCTGGAAAGTGATGTTCATCCCAATATCTGTCTTCTGTCTTTCCTGTGTGCCTCACACACCGATGCTCCCTGGAGGAGGAACTGAGCAGAATAAATGCACTCCCATTGAACCTGTCCTCTGCTGCACTGTGCTTAACATTCAGTCTGTGCCTGTTTCTCTCCTCAAACAATTAGCAGGTAAAACTACAGCTGCTGTTGCTTTAAGTTCAAAACAAGAAGCATTCTTCTAGCCATTCATTTCTGTCAATACAACAGAAATCACTGCATTGGCAACAGCTGTTTTAAACCACTTGCTTGAATAAATCTTTTTTATATATGCAAGCTAGTACTAAATACTAAAAGAATGTTTGAAATATTTTCCGAGTTTATTTTGACTTACATACATACTCTGGTTTTCCGATCAGCTAGGGATGTCTAAATAGTATATTCTCTTAGCCACTTTTCAAAATTGGAAAGATGAGAAAACAGCATTTAACCAAAGAAGATGTGTGTTCATCTTCATTTGTGAGGAAACCACTAATCAGAGCAATAACTAATTCCTAAACCACTAACACTGTGGTGAACTAGGCTGGTTGAGGTTACCTAAACACTAAACCCAGTGAGGATAAAGGTTACCTCACTCCAAACCTCACCCCAATTTACAATGCTTGCATCTCATTCTGCCACCGAAAGGACTCCCAGTATATTCTGAACTTGTTATAGTCAATGAGAGCGTTTACACTGCATGAGCAGGGCTTCACACCTCTGCATCAAAATTTGAACCAATCCTATGTTTGCCAGATACTGATGCAACAGGAATATGAATGAGCCAATATGCATTAAAAAGAAAAAAAAAACATACCAAGACAGGCTATATTTTTTGAAATCCTAACTATATTAACAAAAATGTGGATGTATTCATGCATTTATGCTGTGAACATATATAATTTATGGCTATAAATACACACAAAATACAGACATGATTTTATTTTGAAACCTATCAAGTCATTTCCTCTCACTCAACTCAAAACAGGAGCATCGGTCAAGGTAGACAAAGAGACAAAGATTAATTTTGATAGATGAGAACTACGGTATTTCAAAGATGAGACACACCATCTTTTTTCTCAGACTTTATTGCGTGATCTTGCATTTTCCACGCACGCATTTTCTCCCACTTCTTAGAACACCTCTGGGCTTCTCAAATGAGTGAAGTTAAACGTAGCGTACATCACGGAATGCCTCGGCTCCGCCGGTGAAGTTCGCCTCAAAGCAGAGCCTCATGCAGTGTAAATCTGGGGTCACTCTTAGACAATTGTGGCACAGAATCGCCACATGTTCCAGCATATTTCACTTTATGTTTGGGTTTTTGTGTGATAGTTCCTGGATTGTTCCTAAGCTCCTCCTCAACAATTTCCTTTCTTTGGAGGTGACAGCTTGGGTCAGGTGATAAAACATTTACTGCAGCTGGGCGTTCCAACAAGACAACAACAAATACACATCAAAACTAGTTTTGGAGTGAATAATCAATGCCACCATTAAGCTTCTACAGGAATGGCCTTCACCTCAACTTTGTTAAAAATCTAATGACTATGCTGCAAAGCTTATCCAGAGCCAGGATGTTGCTGTGCAGGTTAATAATTCAGATGTTTGACAAGCCGCGTTGAATATTTAAATGATTTCATGACAGGCTGTAGTACAAAAAATATTAAATAAATACAACTTAAATCATTACATATTTTTTTAAACGCCACAAATTACATTTCCATTTATAAACACATCAAATTTGTCAATAAAATACCAACACATCTAAATTGTTACAGATATTTAATTCTTGCAATTTTGATGCTTGATACGATTCAATATAACTGACAAAGAAAAGAAATCTCTTTCTTTAAAACCACTAGCAAAATATTCTTGAGTTAAATGGGTAATTTTTGGTTCCAGATGTTATTTTGAAATAGAAAAGATGAAAACAAATGAGAAAATGTTATGTTTTAAAGTTAAACTGGTGAAGACTGACAAAAATAAATCCCACAGCTGCTGGAGCATTAAAAAAAACAAACATAATTCATGTGTCTCCCTACGGACATCTCCCAGAGTTAATCATTACATTCTGAGGGAGCTGATTTGAGACAAAGACCTGCTTCTGTTGCAAAGCTCAAGTGTGACTGTGTCTCATTGTTTTTCAATGGACTCTCTCATGGGATGTCATTTGGGTTTAATTGGCTTAATTGTCCACACCTTTGAATAAAAGGCATACCCAGGGAGGATTGCAGTTTTATCTCTCTTGTGTAACTGCAGTTCGTCATGCTTGTGCATAGCCTCACCCAAATGAACATATTTATTTTCATAAGTCTTCTGTTGCACGATATATTTGATCAAATAGCGTCTTTAGTTTCTATCGCTGTCAAGTATTAGAACCTCGGTGTCGATTGCAGAGTTCTCCATGAACAAGTAAAGGTGAGAAAAGCAGCTGACGGGTATCATTGTTTCTAATGCTTCTGAGCTTTTATAGGTTCAGATCTTTTCCATGTTTGTGCCGACGCTAGGCTCTGGAGTCACACTGCTGTAACTCAAGTGACTGACTCTATACAGCAACAGCTGACAGCCCCACTGTGTGATAATGATAGGCATTTATTTGCACCTAAAGCTGGTAACTGAGATGAAGGAGAGATTTTAATGCCAGGTATGAACTGAATCAGCCAAGATAGATCGCAGTTCCAGCATGCCAGTCTAACATTTTGTTACCAACTTCTGTGCGTAAGCAGAAATATCTTCTCTCTGTCTTTCCATCTACAAACAGTCCCTCATTAACACGGGAGTTATCTTTACATCCCTTCAGTCTGTCAGAGTCTGAGCTGCTTACTCCTGGCTTTTCTCTAGCTTAACACTGTGATACTCAAACAAACCCTGATGTCTGGACTTCAGTGATGTAAAGCTCAGACATCTGCTCCAGCAATGAGAGGTTCCCTTTTCTCCTGGCTTCCAGCAGGAGACGGTCTCTCCGATTACCTCATTATCTCAGCAGTGTAACTGAGTTTAAACACAGGTTTTCGCGAAGGTGAGAATCGTGAACGTGATTACCAACAAGAAGCGTCTGCATTGTTGTGAATGAGGAATAATTAAGTCAGAAGTGTGATGTGGAAAATGTCTGCCTTGCTCTGCCACCGACACCGTCACCGTGTCAAACGTGGTTTGTTTCAAATGTGACAAACTCTCAGATTTATTTTTTTTAAATCATTCAAATAAGACACGACTGTCTCTTTCTAATTTATTTCTCATTTTGATAAATAACTGTGTCATTACCAGGAAAGCAAACTGAATCTACAGAGTAAGAGACACATTTATTATCTATAATGTAAAATCAACTTTTATGAGATTTATCATGTTATACGTTATTCCTTAAATCAAAAACATACCTGGAGTGTTGCTTTTATCCTTTCATGCATTTTTGAGAAATCGTTGGATCTCCCGTGGCAACCATTCGGATGTGCATCAATACTCGCTCATACAAAGTGCCGCTTATATGACCTTTTCATAAAGGTGTATAAGTTTCCAAGCGAGTTTCTGCCCTACAGAGCACACCGTTCCACGCCCCTTTCCCATTTAGCTCCACCAGACTAGTGGCAGCAGCAATTAGCAAACACCTGGTGGAAATGCTCATCTGGTGAGCTCATCATAGGAGCTACTTCTCAGTCTGACACTCCTAACAACAGTTGTAATCAGGATAGTGAATGGACATTGTTGTGATGAAGTGCTGAAGGCAGAGTTCCAAGGCATCAAATTACAAAAATGTAAACATGCATGTTTTTGTTTTACCTATATATTTCAACAAACAAAGAGCAACATTTTGAGTAAGCATGCAAGTCAATATCTTACCCTCCTTTGTGTAAATCAGCTGATGGAGGCCTTTTATTTGCAGTCCCATCCTGATGAACCTTCTTATCCAGTGACAACGACAGCGGAGCGTCTCGAACAGCAAGGCCCAACACCAGCGTCTCTTTGGTAACAGAGACGGCCTCATCACCAGTTCGACCCAGGTGCTTCTTGGCATAGTCAAAGCCCTGTACAGGCTGGCAAAAAAAAAAAAAAAAAAAAAAAAAAAACGCAGAGGGAGTCACAGATCCACTTTCACTCAGAATTGTCTTTGCATTATGTATTGCATAAGCTCAGACATTGAAACCACCAGCTACAAAACAGAAAAGTACATGCAAAAACTACATCGAGTCCAACAGTCAGACTTGATAGCACATAGGTGTATCATACTTACCAGATGGCAAAACAAATTACACCAAGTCAATGTAATTATCGAGCTAAACATAAAGGATCAACAAACGATAACCGAATCTGCACACATTCCACCATGACACATTGTTGACACAACAGAAGAGCAAAGTGAAGCCAAAACTGGTTCAAACACAACAGCGCTGCGCTGCCGGCTCAAATTACTCAGTAAACAAGCTGAATTCAAACACAAAACCTCTGAGACAAAAATCACACACCATTAAGATTGCCAGTTCAGTTAAAGACATGAATTACAGGACAACTAATACTGTCTTCTAAATGAAAAAAATATATATAATACTCTGCTCACAATTTATATGAAAGTAATTTGATGGGCATTCCTCCTTAAGCTATTTTTATCAGTCTCCAAACAGCAGAGCTTACATAACAAAAAATGTAAGAAATAAATAATTTGGCAAAGCAGCACCTTTGAAGTCAAGGGTTTGTTAGGAGGAGATAGAACATTAAAGAGACAGTAGAATATGTTTGTGATAACTATGCATAGTTGGAATACATTTTTTTTTTTTTCCTTTTGGATAAATGGCTTTCATTTTCAGGAACAGAGGAAATGGAAAAAGTGAAAGACTGGTTTTGGGTTTGACAGCAACAAAGATAAAACCCAATTTGTTTTCTGGGGGTGTGATGGGGGGGGGGGTGGGCAGTTTCTCCTCTTCTATTTTGAGCAGCTCCAACAAGAGGATGCTTAATGCATGTGATGATGCATGCTAAATTCTGAGAGCATGTAAGGTTAGGAAGCATGGGCGTCTGGATGGGGGCGCTGCTAATAATTCATTGGTCACACACACACACACACACACACACACACACATACACTGCTATGCCTTCAGCTTGCTTCAAACACAACGCTGCAGATGTGGATAGGACTCATGAATTTAGGTTGATAAAAATGAAACACAACTTCCAGACAAGCCAGTCTGCCGTGGCTCCATGATGTTCATCAGTTTAAGAGGAGATGGACTCATGCATGTATGGAGTTAAGCAGATACCACTATTACTACTAGATGACGTGTCACCAAGCCAATTCTTCCTCCTCACAGATTGGTCAGGAATGGTTAATGACCAGGTCTTGTTGACAAGCCAAGTAAGTAAAATCAGCTGTTTGATTTGTTGCAGATGCGTTGGAACAGGGAGGCATCCCAAAGTTGCAGGACAGTGGCACTCAAGGATTGCACTTACAAAGCCTGTATTAGAAGATTGAGAAACTGTGTAATGATACAAATGACAGCAACAGCGGCGCTCAACCCCAAAATATCAGAGGCAAGGGTCAAAACTACCCACAATGCATGTCTTGCAATGATGGCTTTGAAGCGTATAATAAAAGATTGTTTGAAGAACTGGATTCATTTCATATTCATGTCACAGGCGAGGTCGGGGGCGTTTAGGCTGCAGGCTGTGGACGTGGTCAAAGAGGTTAGAGTGAGATGCTGAAGGAGCTTCTGCCTCAGGGGAAGAAAGGACTAAAGATTTGTGATTCAGTCAGTCACTGACGAGTAATAGCAGCTGTCCATGGAGACTGTAAAGGTTCTCAGAAATGACAGGACCAAAGGATGTAACCTTGAAAAGTGTAGCTGGCATTTCAGGGATGGTATTTTACCTTTATAGCTCGCAATTTATCATCATCTTTAAGGTCTTTTCGAACAGTCATATCATTCTATCCTAATTGTCTCTTCTTCTTTTGCTTTAATTTTCATTTATCCCCCGTCCCGCTTCTCCTTCCATTGCTCTCTCTCTCTTCCTTCGCTCCCTGAATGTCGGTCTTTCATCTCCTCAGAGCAGGCCTGTTTAATAAAGACTTTGGCTGCAGACAGACATTGTGGCACTGTGCGAGCCTCTGCTCAGTCTGTCAAATACCAAGGCCATTTTTTTTCCCCCACATCCATCTGGAGTACCAGCAGAAGATGAGAGAGAAAGAAGAACACACAGGAACCTCAACATTTTCAATTTACTTAAAGATGTGTGAAGTGACAGTGAGCACAACACCACTCCGCCAGCAAATTATCTGTCCTGTCAGAGCCAAACAGACGCTTCTGCTCATCTGATTTTAGTTTATAGCATCAGCAGTCGGCAACTTGATGATGTAGAGCAGATGGACAAGATGTGCTGTCTTCTTCGCGAGGGCCAGATTGATTTAAATTCAAGTCTTGCGGGGCAAGGAGCAAGACTGAACCAGAGTCTTCTATAAAAAGAGATCAGGTAGATTTAAAAAGAGAAAAAGAGAGGACACATCTGCACCGACCCGCTGTGGCTAGATAAACCCCCCCCAGGGGCCCGCCGAAGAATGATGCAGCAAAATGCAAAACACCCAAGGTCCTTTAAACAGCAGCTGCTGCTTTGTACTTGCATTGAACGCCTTACAAATGAAAAATGGATTTCTTGTACTTTTCGCTGATTCCACCTCCATTGTACTTTGAACACAAGCCGACTATCGGAGGCTTTCACACTCACGCAAGGCAGCGCTTAGGAAGGAAAAGCCATTTTGAACAATCTTCCAGCTGCGCGGCCAAGTGATGAAGTGACTCAGGCGTTGCAGAGAGACTTGTTAATGCCCAACTAAACATGCAAACATCATATAAACCACAGTATTGATCAGCAGCTTCAGCTTGTCAAGCACGGTGACTGATCGTAAGGCAGATGGGAGCACATTGCACACACATAATACACCTCACAGCAGATCAAACGAGTGGGAGTCTATTACTGGGCTCATATTTAGTCGGCGCTCAGGCAGCTTTGAAAAATCACTTCACTCCTTAATATCGATTCCTGTTAATATTCTCCTGGGGCAAATTAAAAAATGATTAGCGCACAATTTGTATCTGGACCAATCAAGATCGTAAATGAATCGACGCTGCCAGATGAGATCAGGTGGAAATTCAACTGTACAAAATGAAGGTTGAGAAAAGAGTGTTTATTTCTATTTGTGGCAACTCTTCAGTTTTTTGTTGTTGTTGTTGTTTTTTAATCATTTCACCATCAGTATTTTAAAAGCCTAATTCCAAAACATAAGAGCAAATCCATCAATTAAAATAAAAAGATTAGGATTAATCTCCTTTGTAATGACCTGCATCTAAGTCTTACATATCGTCCAATCTGTGCGTAGCAAAAAGCTAAATTAATACTTAATAGTGAGCTAAATTTGCTTTATAGATTTTCATAGAAACATCAGAAAAATATGAATGAAAAGATGTAAGTATAAAGGAAAATGCAGTGCCTTGACGAGGTAATTTTTAGCTTCTAAATTGTCCATGTTTCATACACAAATAAGAGAGTAGTGGAAGGAAAATGGTGCATGCTTTTCAAAGTATTTTTAAAATAAACTTTTGTTGTTTTTCATGTATTTCCATGTGTCTCCTTCATCCTGAAAATCCTAAATGAAGTCCAGTGGAACAGCTAATATTTAGTGTCATTTTGCTTCCACTTTGCAGTGCAAGTATGAACAATAGTTATGTGATCGACCACAAAGTGATCCCAAAAATCATTTTGGAATCAAAAGGATCAAAAGCTTATAGACGGATATAAGCTGCACATGGATGAGGAGCAACTCTCTTACATGGAGATTTAACCAAATATTAGTGAACATGTACAGCCAGGTTTTTTGTTTGTTTAAAAGAAAAAACTTCTGTTATATTTGTGCCACCATTTTTTCTCTTTGAAAAATTCCTAATGAATAATTAAAAGACAAATAACATTTTCATTGCCACGATGATTGTGTAACTTATGCATGTAATCGTATACAAACCCTACATTTTAATCTGCTTTTAGCCTCGGCCATATTGCCACAAGCAAACAAAGTCCTGTAGCACATTTGCTTTTAGATGCGACTTCCAGAAGAAGGGAAATAAAACTAGAGTGGGTAAAAATGCGACTGCAGCCTTCTGGCACCACTTTTACAGCCCCTTGTTTATTAATATTTGATGCAGTCAGTTGTGAAATCCAGAATAAGTAACATCAAATGTTTACAATAATATCGGTTACTTGAGCAAATAAACCTGGGAGCAATAGCATATTAATACATCACTTTAAGGAAAGGAAAAACACACACACACAGAAGCACACAATACACAAAATGTACTTCTATTTTCTGGGATGTTTACACCCCGCTGTGCTGCGGAGTTACAACAGCCCCATTACCCACCAACATGTCCCGCCTACCCATCCTCACATCCATCCTTTCCCCGGCTCACTTTGCCTCTCAGGGGGCTGGGGGAGGAGAAGGTCTGGACCAAAATAGGACGCAAATACAGAAGCTGACATCCTCCAGTGGAGCAACAAAATCCACGCTAATACCTTCTCTATGGATGCCATTTAAAGGGTTTTCTTCTTTTTTTAACTGCTGGTCTTAGCCATTCTGTTTGAGTTCATGCTAAGATTATTTAGCAGAAAGGCTCATATCAAAAGGTTTGATTGGATGTCAGCCATCCCTGCTGAGCTGCTGAGGGATTGGAGCAGCTCTGTTTGACAAGATAACTCGACTGGTTTGAAGGAGAAGCAGAGGTCCTGATCAACGACACAAGCTTAAGTTTTTTGTACAAAAGTAATCAAAAGCAATGTTGAGCGCATTTCTTTTATGGCTTTCTTCCTGTGTTAGTAATTCAGTCACGTTGGGTGGATGCCAAAACAGTAAGAAATCTTAAAGGGAAATGTTGATTAAAAAAAAAAAAAAACATTCCTCCCTCCTCCTATTGATCTTGCAGCAATGAGAACAGAAATACGTTACATCACAGCAGCTACATGCAGGTTTTGCCCAGCAACATCAACTGGCAGCACAGAGAGGAGAAGCCAGCCAATTCATTCATTCATTGATTCATTCAGTCACTTAATCAGTCAAACAATTCACCGGGGCGGTTGTTTCATTGAATACCTGGTGGTGGTAACTGCCTTCCCTTCGATATGACGTCTAAACAAGGAGAGAGTCAAAGGAACAAGGTCAGGAAGGGCTTTGTGCAAAACAATGCAACTTTATGTGGGTGGCAGCAGTCATTCATGAGGTGAAGTGATTTAAAGAAAAGAAAATATGTGCAAAGAAAGAGAAAAATAGCATAAGAAAATAAAATGAATAATTTTAACTATTAGATTTAAAAAACAAAATAAAAGTAAATATGTTATTTATTGCTTACACAGATTATTGAGAAAGCAAGATATCTAGTGGCCACAGTAGTAATCTTCTCATTTCGTATCTTTCAGATTTTCATTTTATTTTAAATTGTTTTAATCAATGAAAGTTTTCATTTATCAGAATGAATGCAGATGTCAAATTCCTATTTACAGTGCTTATTTATGAAAAGTATTCATGTAGTCAGTGTGTCTTAAGTGATCATAGTTTATAGACACCTGGAAGGTTAATCAGTGTTCCTGACTACCATTCTAAGCTAATTGGAGAAAAGTACAAGTCAGTGGATGGAAACAAAAAAAAATCTCTAAAGCACTGAGTGAACATTCTCAGGAGTTCAGGTAAAAACATCATCTAGAAATGGAGGATATATGACATGAATAGATTTTCCCCGATCAGACTGTCTTCACAAACTGATTGCCCGTGCAAGAAGGAGACGAGTGAGAGAACCCACCAGAATACGTATCACCACACCGGTCGAGCTGCAAGCTTCAGCAGCTGAGATGGGCGAGATCCTGCAGACAACCATTTTTGCCCAGATACTTCACCAGTCAAAGTTTTTATGTGAGAGCGGCAATAAGAAAACCACCGTTGAAGAAAACTCATATCAAGGCTTGAGAAGATTTAGCCAAAAAGCACGTGGGAGACTCCATGTCCAAGTGGAAGACGGTTCTTTGGTCAATTTTGGCAATCCGACTGGTCGCTATGTTTGGTGGACGTCAAACATTGCGGTATTTCCATTGTACTGCCTCATTATTGGTTTTATGACAAAGAACAGAACAGCTTCAGGGATAAATTTGAAAATTTGCTCACTCGCACTGTTAAAATGACTTTACCAGCTCCCAAAACCGAAACCAGATACTTGAAGGGTTGCATTTAGGCCTCTCTCCCAAAAGAGGGATATATATATTTAATCTTGTGAGGGAAATATCTCTTTGCACTGGCTTATTTTTTCCCATTAAAATAAACATCTTCATCAGTTTATGTGACTGAAACTTCAAAACAAATGTGGTCAAGTGAAGTTATTTGGTCAAACAGCTATGCTGGACCTCTAATGGTGATAAGAAATGCCAGCTCTGCTTTAGGATTATTACATCTAAGCTAATTCTAGAGGCTTTTCAGAACAAATAAGGCTGGCGAGCTCGTTGCTTGTTTACCACTTCACTGAACGCGACGGCACAAGCAGCTGCTGTTCTGGCGTCGTCACTGCATCCAGGGCGACCATCTGACCGAACCAAACCATCTGTTGGCAATCTATTACAAACATGCTCATTTAAAAGGATTGATTTTCAGTTAAAACTCCAGTGAGCTGATGTCCAGTGAGCGCCGTCTTTGTGGAAGAGCCAGCATTACCCTGAGGTTTCCTTCCAGTACAGTGAGCCCTGCCCATTTCTTTGCAGCCGATTGGCCTTTGCAGCATGCATGATTAGTAATGACCACGGGCTACTTGGTAGTGAGAAAACAAATGAGTGAGGCCGGCAGAAATGAAATTCATTTTTCTGTCCTGCAGCAACAGCTTGACACAGTCAGTTTTCTGTTAGCCTATGTCACTCGCAACAGAGTTATGTAATCTTGTCAGAGCCTTACAGAAGATGAAATCACTACGATTTGTTGAATTGGTGAGGTTTGTGTATCTCAGGGTGACAGGAAAGCAACTAATTTACAGCTATCACAGAGGGAAGGAGGAACAAAAAGAAGAAGAGCTGCAAAATACAAATAGGTCAGTACAAACAAACAGGAAAAGTGAAACAGGTTTCAGGATTTTACCTTGGAGCGCGTTTTGAAGGTCCTAAATGCACCAGATTTAAAAATGACTCTGTTTCTTTTACACAGGATGAAGGCCACCATTCCAATCACCACCATCAGTAAGAAGAGAGGAGTGAGAACGGCCATGATCCACAGGTTGCTGGGTGGTGTCTTCACCACAGCTGCACATGGGGGGGGGAAATAACGTTAAATTAACAGCAGTTTTAATCTGGTACGATATGTAAACAACAGATATGAGTGAGCTTGATGAAAAGAATGTATTAAATGCTGCTGTTTTAGGTGTACCCAAGGCTCAATTTTAGGTTCACATCTTGTTCAGTGATTGTCTAACTAAACCCGATTAGTTAGACTGATGTTTTCATGCTTTGCTGACGACGACACCGTAGACAAACCGATGAAACTGTGACAAAAACGTGGATGTATTTTTTCGTCTGACAAGGCGAGGCAATGAGAGCTTGCAGTTTTGATGGCTGTATGTTCACAATAAAGACTAAAAAGAGTGGCAAATATAATGTTTTAATCCAAATTTCTTGAAATTAAGTGAAGGATATGTGAAAATGTGTGAAATTAAACCATTTTAACAATCTAGCAGCAATTTTCTTTAATCTAACGCATACAAAAGGATGAGTATTTCTCACTTGAATTTATTTTCAACTGCTTACTTTTGGAGCTGCTTGCGGATAGCATGTGTTTTCATTGAAGGCATGAATATAATTGTCCTCCTCTCTACCCATCGGGAGGCAGAGAGAAAGTGTTTATCAAGAACACTGTGATCTCTTCGCAGCATCAACACTTTAGGAAGAGCTGACAAATCCAATGTTTCCTTCAGTTGGTTAAGTGTAATGAGGTTTCTGAGATAATACAAGTTACAAAATGAGAAAATGCAAGTCAAAGGGAGAGAATACGCTGTTCTCTTGAGCTAAAACGAACGAAAAAGCCACCAAAAACATGCATGAATATTTTTAACGTTATGTTTGAATAAAAATCCGAAGTTACCTATCCAAAAACAATTTGTGCAGCCTGACTATGTTGTTGATCAAGTTGTTAATGTCACAATGTCATATGTACAGAAAGATAATGGCAGATAGATCTGGAAGCATTTTGTCTTTTTACAAAATACTGTTGAAACTAGAGGCAGATGTGCAAAGGTGGGACTGGGATGTAATGGAGACAAACATGGAAAGGAAGGAAAGCACATGGAAACGTCAGAAAATGCAAACATTAGTTATGCTTTCTACTGTTTATAAATATTGTGTTTATATACTATTTTTTTTACAACATTTGTACTACCAACCCACCAGGGAATAGCCTGCTTGAATAAATTCTTCATATTATCACTCAAGCAGTGATTTCTAATAGTCTGTGTAGCCTTTAAGAAACAAACAAAATGTGTGTCGTTCATAAACCAACCACAGTTCTGTTCCGACTGAATAACCTTTGTGTGGATACAACGGCTATATTCCCACAGCAGGTCTTAATTGCTCAATTTAGATTTTTTGCTGAAATCAGCTTTTTTTTTTGGCATGGCATTTCATACTACTAATGAACTGAAACTGCAACCGGACTTGTGTGTGAGCTATTTACGTCCCCGAAGCGACCCACGTGTGCAGAAGCAGCACGTAAACATCACACAGCAGCCATGGAGGTAATAATGGATGCTTGCTTTGACTTAAATACATATAAAAGACATGCAACGCAGCAATGACAGTTTAAATACAAGCTTACGTTCGGCCTGCACTTGCACAAAGTATCCCAGTGTCAGAGCCATGGTCTGGGAATCCAGGCTGCTGAGGGTCTTTGCAGCTGCAGATCCTGTGATGGGGGATCCATTCAGCTGTGCATAGTAGGTCATCTCTGCTGGGTTCTTTGGACCTGGAAGCCGTCGCATGCTCACCATCTGGGAGTGGGGAGACACAGTTGCATCATAGTTTTAGAGAAATTTCTAAAAAAAAAAAAAAGCTTTGAGCCTTGTTAACCATCAAGAAAACATATAATCTGGAGGCAAGTTGCACACAAAATCCCTTATCTTCTCCAACCGATAGATTGCCGCGTCTGTAGCTCAATTTCTTTTTTGCTTTGATCAAGTCGAGCATTGGCTGGGAGATGAATGGATTTATTGAAGACTCTCAAGGATAAACGAGTCACATGAAATCTCAATTCCCTTTCATCATACATCAAACAGTTTTTTTTAAACATAACACAGCTTTAATCAAGTCTAGTAATTTGATTTTGTCATTTAAAAAAAAAAAAAAAAAAAACGATACGAGTTATTAAATAGCTGGAGGTTTATTCCTCTGACTGCACCCAGCAAGTTCTGACAGTTCTGAGAAGCTCTTCCTCCTCCACTCAGCAGCCATAAAACTGCTCAACTGTGAAGACCGTAAAAACCCGCGAGGGTTTGTAATGCATGCGGGTCACTATGAATAAAACGTCATCATAATTTGAACAATACGGAGCACCAAGCGGGGGAGGTGACGCAAAAGAAAATATTGCTCACCAAATATTTCTGTGCTTATTATTATCTCGTGTTTAAACTGAATCATTCTAACGTCTTCCTCCACCAATTAAATTTAATTTTAGAGCTGTAGAGTTAATTAATCAAAGAAATTACGTAAAAGCTTTTTTTATTATTATTTAAAAGTAGCTAGTGGTTAGATTTGACTATAAAAAATGTTTGGCTGTAGCCTCTGTTCTACAAACATACAACTCCCCTCTATTTTTTGACAGGATTCCTTCCTAGCCGTCCCACCTTCAGTCCCCCCGGAGTGCTGTCCAGGATTCTAAATCTGGAGCTGTCTGTGGTAGTGCATGCATTCAAACCTTTTCATAAGAGACTGAGAAAAAGTTTAGTTCCAAAGCGAAAGTTTTAGGAAAAAAATATCACATTTACATAATGTCTGAAAAGCAACTCTGAAATGATGATTTACTTTATCAGAAGAAGAAAAAAAGAGCAAACCACCCTTTTTAAATCGAATTGAACTGCCTGAATGCATATAATTCACATACCACAAATTACATGAACTTACAGTACTATTTGCCAAGAAACCTGAGACAGATGTTTACCATTATACCTTATAGAAGGGTATAATTTAGGGAACATCTACAGGTGTCAGAAGTTGGACCATACAATCTCCCACTATTAAATATAAGATTTCTCCCAAATTTGGATAGATATGAAAAACCCTGTGAAGAGGTGAGGATGTTATAAAGATCTGAACAAAAAGACCGAGCATGTTTACAATATCCTTACTCCAGCCTTTACTTGTTTGTGCTGCCATCTTGACATCGTATTTCTACAAAAAGAATGATCAATCTCTACTGACCTGCACGGTGTAGCCGCCCACAGACGTGGCCCGCCGGGACCTCATGGACCGAGAGCCCTGCCTGCCAGCAACGAGGAAAAGCTCAGCCAGCCGCTGCTCCATGAGACTGGCGAAGCTCTGGTAGTTGGCCTCCAGGGAGGAGCTGTCCACATCCTGGATCACTGAGCAAGGAGACAAGAAATGACAGACAGATTTAGGGGGTGGGGGGTAAGGGGCGTTCAGGCAGACAAAAAGGGAAAAAGAAAAAGTGGGTGAGTAAAGGATTGGGAGCAGAAAATATAAAGAAGAAAAGCAAAGCAGGAGAAAAAAAATGAGCAAAAAAAAAAGAGTTTGAAGAAAGACAAAAAGTCAGAGAAGTTAGAGATGTGTGATCGGTATGACAATAGAGATGACAGATGATCTTCCTCCTGAGAGCTGCTCTTACAACAGGCCATAAGTGAGATGGATCAGTGGACAGACATCACACACACACACACACACACACACGCACACACACACACACACACACACACACACTGTCACACAGCAGCATCATTCACAGCCGTCCCTGATGTGATATGAAGTGATCTCTCCCCCTGCCCCAGTCAGGAAACTGTGAATTATACATCAATGGGATTTTCCGCAGCTAAAGTGACTCAGAACTGAGAGAGTAAGAAGAAGAAGAAGAATGGATGGATGGAGGTGGATTGCTAAACATGCAAAGAAACACACAGAGCAGTACGAAAAAGGCATTTTGGTGTTATCTAATCAGTGCAACAATTGGTTTTGCAGAATCTGTCCAGGAGCAAATTACCTGTGATCACCCAGTAGCTCCTGGTTGCGGTGGATGTGTTGAGATTGTGGTACTCAAGAGCTGGAGAGACAGACAAAGAGACAGAGACGTCACATTTACATTTGAACACCCAGGAAACTAACTTTACTCCAATCAGTAGTTTTTACATTTTGTTTTTAAGGTTCTGGAAAAAGTTCACAATTTACAAGTTTCATATAATTTATTGGTAATGGACACTGTTTAAATTTAGTAGTATATATTTTTTGCAGAGTTTTACAAATTTGAAATAAATTTAACATACGTAGGTACATCATTTATTAAAAAACCTAAAGTATCGATGGGCATTTTTTATTTAGCACAATAAAATATGCACACTGAATTTATATGAATGCCTCTGTTCAAACGACAACAGCCTTTGCCTTCATAGACATTGTATGTTTTCTAAATAACATTGGGGCTTCTTGAACTGACATTAAATTTACACCAGAAGTTGGTAATAACCAAAGTAACACAGACATAAAAAACCCCATCAAAACTAATTAGTACATAGTACAGATGCTAGAAGGTGAAATATTAAAGGGAATTAATCGTTAATACATCAAAAATTGTATGCAAAAAGACTTAGAAAGTCAAAAACTATCTGAAATCTGTCAGCGTTTAGAAAGGATTCCTATCATATCAAGACATTTTATATATATAAATTATTTTTCAGACAATTCTCTTTATCTTTTGTCCCAAAATACTTATGTTTTCATAAGACCACAATAAAAACTCCAACAAGTGAACACATATCACTGGACAAAGAATAGGGCATCATTGAAGTTATTTGTGAAAATGTGGACAATACTGGCAAAGCAGTCAGTCAGTCAGTCAGTCAGTCAGTCAGTCAGTCAGTCAGTCAGTCCATCTGCCCTATCAAAACAGTAAATAGAAGAACTGGCATGTATGAACACTTGCAGTTCTTCAATATCCAAAGCTGTCACTAAAATAAATGGCCAGCTCAGACAAGAGCCGGTGCAATTTATCTCGCTTTATTGCCACCAAATAACGGTGCAGATAACCAACGTACAACTACCCAGACACTGGGGGAGCATCCTTCATTCTCAAATGAAAAAAGGGAGAAATGTCTGACTGTGAGAGCATTCATTATGTTCAATAAAACATCTCAGGATTAAGAAAAGGAATTTGGTCGCTGTATCATGAAGAGTATTCACAATACAGACCCCCCTGCCTTATCTGGAGTCCAGCACAAGATTATTTGTCTCAAGATATTACAACCTGAGACAGTCAATTGAAAACATAAACACTTTTATACACTGTTTGTTTTCCAGTGATGGTATCATTTACAGCTCAATACAAGAAAAGCAACTATACAAAAAAAAAAAAAAAAGCAATCAACTCCTGCAGAATACATTATTTCTCACTATTTCCCATGCAAATTGGATTTTAAAAGCTGCAATAAAAATATGCTATAATTAGCGTATGGGCAAAAGGCCTTTGAAGTCACGGAAAGAAAATGCAACATTGGTAAATTTGTGTGAAGCAGCACCGACACGCTCCACATTTTATTCTGCCAGCCTGTTTTAAGAAATACCTGCTCCTCCATTCCCAGTCAGCTGTCTCCGTATGTCTCTATACACACACACACAAAAACCATAACACCCTCAGTTTCAATCTCATCTGGCAACGTCTCTCGTCCTATTTCCACCTCACCCAATCTGTCGCCAGCTTACCATAAGACCAAGTCAGGACTACAGCGAGCAAACTGTATCTTTAACCAGCATTTGTTTCTGCTCTAAACTATCGTCCAGAGACAAGAAAAATGAGAACACATTTACATTCGCCGCTCTCTCCTCTTAACTTAAATGAGCTCATAAAAACACTTCATGCTCCAACAGCATTGGAGTGTGAAGGTTCAGGGCTCTCCATCTGAGTTCTTCGCAGAATCTGTGAAAATGCCCAGATGAATCCGCCATATCAATTTTATCAGCGTGGTTGTTGGAAATTTAATTGCAATATGCAAAAAAAAAAAAAAGAGGATGGAAAATGTAGAGTAATAGAAAATGTTCTGCTCAGGTTTAATACAAAACACACACACACACACACACACACACACACGGAAGATAAGGCATGAACAGCATCAGATTTCTTTTTAAATGAAGACTTTAGATAAAGATGAGAAAATCACAGCTTCCAGTTACTTCCCTTCAAACACTGAACGTCTGTTTAAAACTGGGCTCTGTTAGGCAACGTGTTTGGTCTGAATTTAATCTTAAAAACATGGATGTTATGTTCCGTGTTTCTGTGTGTTTATTTTTGAGTTTCTGTGTAATCCTGTTTTCCTGTGAGTCTCTGTCCTGTCCTCCCCGTTGATTGCTCCCCAGGTGTGTCTCGTTTCCCTTAATTACCCCGTGTGTATTTAAACCCACCTGTTGTCTGTGTTCCTCGTCGTCGTTTGTCAGTTGTCTGACGTCTAGTGTTCGCTCCAGTTGAACTGTTAAGTCCTGGATAGCGTTAGCTCTAGTGTCTATGTCGTAGTCATTGTCTATTGTATGTCGTCTACACTCTCCAGTCGTACTGCTAAGTCCTGGTCGGTGTTCGCTCGCACAAAGTCCCGTCGTTCAGTTGCTACCGGTATTTGGTCTCTCTGCCGTGCTGCCTGTTGGACTGTTTGAGCATCTTCATTAAATATCTTCATCTTCACCATAACCTGGGTCTCAGCGTCTCTCCTCACCACCAACAACCACACCACACGACAATGGAACAATCAGAATTAGCGAGGCCAACACACCGACCCACACAAAGACGTGTGGAGGAACGGGAGGTGGGTTACATTTTTTCACAAATAAGTATCTCAATAGCGTGGTGTGCAAATGCACTCAGTCACATTTGATTTGATTCTCTTAAATGAACTACAGAAAAACCAATCAGAATTTAGCAAATTAGCTGCCGCTGTTTATCTGTGTGACGCATGATCTCAGTACGAATACAGCGGTTCTGTGAAGACCTCAGAGTTTTGTTGACGTAAATTAGGGAACAAAGAGCTTCATAAAGACCACGGAGAACAGCAACAGGAGAATGCTGGAATAACTTTAAGCTTTAAACAATGTCAAAAGCTTTGGATGCTCCCAAAATAGTAGAGGAAAAAAAAATCCAACCTTATATAAATATATTCTGGACTGGAACACCAGAAGAAACAAAACATTATAATGTAATTTGTCTTTCTATCAACCTGTCTTGTTTAGGAAAGCACTCTTATGAAAGAGAGAGAAACACAGATGTAGCCTTCCTACAAGCGGACATGCCAGTCCATCTGAAAGCTAATTAACTCTATGCAATGCAGCTCCCCTTGGAAAATTAACCAATGACGCATGCCTGACAGGACAGGACAGAACAGGGAAAACAAACTGCAGTGTTTTGTCTTCTTCATTATGCGGTGCAAAAGTTAAAATTTTATTAAAATGTACAGGCAAATGAGAAACTGCACTTGAATGACTTCCAGAGTTCAATCTGGGACAACGAACCCGGTACAGAATGAAGGAAGTAGCTTTGTGGTGTGAAGAAATACTCTCAGCCTGCAAACAGACTCATCCTTCACATAAATGATTACCTATTTATGCTCTAAAAGTAACTACCATCCAAAACACACCTGGGATATTAGCTGCTATCACTGCTGTGATCATTCACTGTCATTGTTTTAGTCAGTCATCCAATAGGCTACCATGCATTGCTTGTTTTTTTGTTTCACCCCTCGAAACATTCAGTGATTTTTAGGAGAGCAGGAAGGCTTTCTGTGGTGATGCTAAGTGGATTTGGATGTGACCAAGCAAAGTGTGATGTTTGAGCCCTTTGGGTGTTGAGAGCACACACCAACAGATACTAATCTAATCTCACTCTGCTAAAATTAGCTCATCTGGGGAACACGGGCAACAGATAGCCCAAGGCAGGCTTGGGATGATAGGAGCTCTGCAGCTGTTTGCCCTTTTTAAAAAAAATCTCACAGATGGCATCAGAAGGAGCGATGGAATATAAACAAAGATCATTTGAACCAACTCTGGAGTGTGGGGGCCATTCACTTTGGGTAGCTGGAATCAAATAAAACACACGCAACATTTATGAAAAGGGCAGGACTAAGTTATTCAATTTTTGCATTACAAAAGAAGCACTCATCGATATTGCAAAAAAAAAAAAAAATTACAAAATGACTAAATTACTACATTTCCATCACTCCTCTCATCCTCCATTCGTTCTTTGATAACTAAAATTATGATCTTGTCCTGATAATAAGCATATCATAACCCTCAGTGCTTTCCGAACCTCAAAGAAGCACCAATCTTTTCCTTTGCCCCTTAGTGGAGTAAATCTATAATGAGTTGAAGATCGTGCGCTCATTTGACACATCAAACAGCGTTTTAACTTTGATGCTGCGGTCTCTCTTGGTCCCATGTGTTTGGCCGCTTGTGGTGCCTGATGCTGCTGAACAGATCAGGCCCTGTTGAAAAAATTAGTTGCTACTCGTCAACTTACGCTTGAATACCACAAGAGCTTCATAACTGACTGAAAACATGGATTAGCAAGGGATAGTGCTTAGGTTTTATTTAAAGCCACTGACTGCTAATACATTTCAGTCAGATTTGTTTTATACCAAGACAAACAAAGATGCTTGGAGTACATTTTAGATTTCAAGTAATCTTTGCGCTTGGGGAGCAGATTAAACATGTGACAATTCATGATTTTTGCATTGCCTTTCAGTTGAGTACTTGGTCCTGAGCACTCAGTAGTCATGAGGGGACCAAACAAATATTATTTCAAAGTCTTTCTTAGCTAGAAGTTCTAGCAGCAGCAGTACAAGTGGACCAAAGGAAAGTAAAGGTTACATAATCTATTAATATATTAGGATGGAAACTGATTTCTTTCTTGTTTAGTTTCTCTGGGAGATAAGCAAACAACTGTATTTTTTTTATTTATTACTTTTTATTGTTAACATCCATAACCAAGCGGATTTATTGGTTCAGCTTTCTGCTGAACATTCTTTTTGTTTCAATAACGATGTCCTGGTCTCCTAGCGGTCCTTGTTCTCCTCCTAAGCCTTTCAAAACTGAAATAAAACTCCAGGGGCGAAAGCTCCTTCATAGATTCCAAGCTCCGCTCACTGCAGTCTTTATTCTTACTGCTGATGAAATTAAGGAAAAAAACACCATGAAGTATGAAAGTAGGCTCAGTGTTTAAACTTTTTCATACTCTCCAGCCTGAGGGTACAACTGAGTCAAGTCAAGGAAAGCTACATTGTAGATGTTCTTAGATGTGTACTGGTTATTGAGTTCAGCGTATTTATGATTTTCCCTTAACACATATTGTAAAAAAATAAATAAATACCTGAAATCTGGCAAGTACTTCAGCATTTACTCTCTTTTCAGTAATAAAAACATAAAGAGAGGACATACTAATATTTTTATTATGCAAATATGCAATGACAATCAAATAACCTTGAATGTTATTTCTTGAATGAATGAATTTACCAGAATATGCTAAAATAACAAAAATGCCAAGTCAATATGATGTGAAGTCTAAATAATGTTTTGTAATGTTTTTGCAATGATTTTACAGCTGTACATATTTCTTTTAACTTTTGCATGGAGAGACAAACGTGTGTGAATTAATACAAAGAGACTATCTGCTTTTCTAGCAGGATACATTATTACAGAATTGTAATGATGACAGGAAGAATGAAGTGGATTAGACAACATTGGCTATGTTTACATCCAGATATAACTGTAGTAAAATTTGATCATATGAAAATATAGTTACTGAAGAAATCAGTTAAACAAAACCAGTCTATCAACAGGAAGCAGGACCTAAAGATCTAAAGAAACTCAAGAACTGACAAAAACATAGTCTGTTCTTTCAGTCTGGAAAAGACATGAATGACTAGATTTAATTCAAATTCAATTTGATTCAGAAACATTTTAATTAAATAGATGAATGGACGCAATAGATGGAACCTTGGATAAATCATTTTAAGCAATAATGGCTTTAGCAGCCAACCAGATGCACACTCAATATTTCTAAATGAAACTTGGTGGTGAGCTTGACCTGAAGATGCTGTGGTTGCTCAGAGAAATTTAAAAACAGAAAAACAGGACACTCTCTTTTAATCAAAGATTTATTATCTGATGGTTATAAAAATACTTTGACTTGAGTTTGTGATTAAGAAATTTAGGAGCAATTATTTCCCTTGAGAAAAGATGCATCCTTAATTTAATTTATTACATTTAGTCCAAAAACTTTAGAATTGTTACGCTGAGATTTTTGTCTAGACTTAAGAAACTCTTCAAAGAAACTGTGGATATTTAAACAAGACATGAATGCATTGACCTGAACTGGCTTGTTTTCAGCTCAACTGACCCTCAATAACATTGAGAGAGGGGAAAACTTTAATGTCATAATACAGTAAAGTTTCTCTCTTTTTTACCCTTTTCGAGGTTTAAATCTCTTCCTGTAATGGGATCATATAGAAATTAGTGTAGTCTGGGGTAAATCTCAGTTTAAGAATCTATATCTGCGTTTATTACTGCTATAAAATGTCAAATACAATTTAATATGTAAACTTGTTTTTTTTGTTGTTGTTACTTTTAAAAATAATAAAACTAATAAAAATACTTTTTCCGTATAGTCCCCTTTGCTCATCAACAGTTACTGACTGCTCACTGCAGAAAACAATCATATCCAAAGTGGGTGTCAGCAGGAATAGAGCTGCACAAAAAACAAAAAAATCAAGATTCGTCAACAAAATCCGGCGCTTCTCTGGCTTTCAATGATTCATTTTCAGTTGTTTCATTCGCAATCAATGCGGTGAAGCAAATATATAGCTAAATTAACCCTTTCATGCATAGTGGTCAGTACAGAGGACAGCTACCTAAAAGTCATTCTTTTGTGCTTCTTGTGGATTTTTATGTTATAAATGCACAGAGACCACTGAAGTGGACACTAATGCATCATAAAATACACTATCAACTACTGGCCATCAGCTGCAAAGGCAATAAATGATTTTTGTTAAATCCAATATGGCCGACAGACAAAAAAGCATGCCAACCGACCCGGTCCCTCCTTCTACTGTAGACGACTCTTGCAGGAAAAAAAAATATTGTGACAACCGGTAACCCCTAAAGAACAATAATACTGATGTATTTTTTTCAAATGACAACTTTATATTTGGAGAAAATTAAAATTAATCACCTAAAAAAATGAAGGAAAAAAAAAAATTGTTATAACTTTTTTTAATGCCTTTAGAAAATCAAAAAAAAAAAAAAATGGGGAAAAAAATCCTGACACAAAGGCTCATAATTCATGCATGAAAGGGTTAAAACCGCATTAAGAAAAAAAATGAAGCTGTACTTACGCTCAGCTATCACCAGCGGAGGATAGAACAGGAAGTATCCCACCAGCTCTGCAGTCAGCTGGTTGAGGAGCCCACTGGATATTGTCCCATTAAGGAATGCATCCTGGTTTTTCACCACATACACCAGCGTAACCGAGGGCGAGCCAGACTCCTGAGACACGCTCTGGATCTGCGGACAAACACACCGGCTTGAATTAAATATGCCGCTCTCTGCTGCACATAAGAACGCTCAGAAAGATTTCAGATTTTTTTTGTTTCCAGCAAAGACAAAATATACAAGGCCACATTTATAATTTAAACCTTCAATACGAAAATATCTAGAGCTATCATGCCAAATGTGGAAGACGCGCATAAAGAATGCACAGCAGGCCTTCAATGAACAAGGTTTTATTCTCTCCATAATAAGACCTGTGGTTTCTCTGACATTCATGTAACAGAATCACAACGGCGAAGTGGACGACGATGCAAGATACAGAGAATTCCCATCACATTTCTCTGCGAGCGTTAATATTTCAGTGGATAAATAATGAATGGAGCCTATATCTCTGTTTGCTTGTTGAGACCTACTTTATGGTTTTGATGGTGTTTGCATGTGCAGTGTATATTCTGCAAACAGATGAAGACTTTGGCAGAGAAATACGTATGATTTATGTATGAAAACTAGATTTTATTACAGTTTGCAGTTTCCAAAAATATAAACAACATTTCTCAGAAGCTACCCCCCCACCCAACCCCCCTTCAGTCAAGTGCAGAGTGTTACTATAACTTTCTTATTTTTGGTAACTTTTGCTTCAAGAACCCATCTGGCCACAGTAGAAAAAGCTTGTGGCCAGCGCCGTTGAAGCAAAAACAAGAATAAGTATGCGAGCGACTGAGCTGGCTGGAAATCCACCTGGAGCTGTATTATAAATGTTAGTCTGATTAGCATGCTGCATGCAGACAGGACACATTTGGCTGTCTGCCTTATAAATAGTCTCGGTGCACTCGTCCCGTACCTCCACTGTGAGTCTGTTGTAGGTCTCCAACACTTTATCCTGAGCCTCTTCAAAGGCATTCTCAAGCCGCTGCTCCAGCATCTGGACGAAGCTGCACGAGTAGATGTTGTCTGCAGGTCCAACAAATCTTAACACTGCAAGCCAGGCAAGGAAGAGCAAAGCAGGGATTATTTATGCACCATCTGAGTAGTAAGAGAATAACAGGCTGCTTCAGATTAGGGGTGGATCTCACTCTGGTTGTATGAATGTATGAAGGAAGCTTGTCTTAATCTTGAGGCCACGTCTCTGTGTGACTGTGACTGACTTTTAAATAGAGCTGCACAGATTTGCAGTCGTCAACACCACATTAAATGTGGCCGTAATCCGAATATCTAAGAACCCTTTGTATGAAGAACTAGGTAGTTTTTTTTTTATTTTTTTTATGTATTTTAAGGGATATTCATGAACAATTTAAATGCAAATAATGGATTTGTCCAGTTGGTCAGTTTTGGAAGTTGACAAAATATTTAAGCTCACAAAGTGCTGTTTAGGAAATAACATATCACAATTCTTTCTTTTTCTATTATTGTGAAGTAGTTCTTTAGTTGAGTCTTGAGTCTTTATTTGTAACAGCGGTGACAAAGTCTTGTCCTGACCAGTGGCATATTTTATTGCAGGAAGTGTGATGCATACCGCATATTAGCATGCTGCTGCATATGAAGCAGGGAATTGAAGCACAAGCAAGAATCAATCTCTCAGTTGTTCAGCTCATTAACCGTAGATACGTTTGCCAATTTACCCGCCGCAGTACAATTTGCATGAGATTACCAACTGGGTCAGCAGGGTTTGTGCCTGCAGAGCGATTCAGACCGAGACCAGCGAAGGATGTTGGGACTTTGAAGGAAGACTGCACCCATCAGCAACACACCGTTTGAATTTAGGTCAGAACGCGGCTCCCCCCTTGGCACCGCAGCCCTGTTTCGAGTTAATTCTCAAAACAAAGGATAATAAAGATGGAATGGAGCAAGAAAATAGAGGGCAACGGGTAATGTTCATAATCTGCTGATGGACTCAATATTGTTTACCCTGAGCTGCACCTCCCCGCTTCTGATGGAGAGCCGCTCGTTTTCTCTGGTTTCGGTTTAGATGGAGGCGATAATCCTCTTCGTTTCCATTGCTACTCAGGTTTATCGGTCGCACAGACGTCCCTCCAGAGAACTGCTTTCATTAATACTAACAACAGAGCCAAACATACAGATTCCAGATACAGCATGATGGATTGGGTATCTTATCCACAGTGCTTTTATTTTTAGGCCTAATCTCAGGAAGTGTTTGTTTTTTTGTTTATTCTGTTGCTGAAGATGCATATGCCTTCTGTCTAATGTTATTTTTTCTCCTCCATTTTAACTTTGGATTCATGCTTTGTTTCAAATTTAATTATTTACATCATCCTACTGTCTCTAGCTCACTGCGTGCATTTGGGTAGGCCACAATCAATTTTCCTGCACAGCTATTTGGCACTTTCTACTCTAAACAGTTTTAAAAAAAGACATCATACTTTAGTCCACATTTGATCACAACCATGAACATCGGCATATTTTATTGGGATTTTATATCATAGACCAACACAAAGTTGTTCATAACAGTGAGGCAAGAAGGTAACCAGTCCACGTCTGTGTAATTTAATCTCCGTAAAAATGCAGCTGAACACCTCAGAGGAAAATTTCTTTATGTCAGTGATCAGATTTTCTCAGTTTCTACAGTGAGGGAGGCACCCATATGCACCAATTAATGCTGATTGCCACAACACACAGTCCATGGATTACAAGCTACAAAGACAAAAATAAGTGGAAATGCAACAAGTTTAGCTCAGATTAAAAGTAAAACTATTCTTTCTTATTAATTCGATCAAATCTGAAGCAACATTGATTTAAAATTATGGACTCATGTTGAGAAATACCATACTATTCTCAAAATATGTATTCTGATATACAGTCTCTTAACTGTGCTGATTGTCTGACCTTGCTCACACAAAACTGTGTGTGTGTGTGTGTGTGTGTGTGTGTGTGTGTGTGTGTGTGTGTGTGTGTGTGTGTGTGTGTGCTGAAATGTGTTTTGAGACTTAAGAGCTGACTAAGTGATTGGACCAATTTGTTCTGCAATCACGGGGGTCTGTATGGGATTTAAGGTATCAAAGAGGAGTAAAGGAGAGCTAATCAGACTCTTTCTAATTTTGTCTCGGTTCTGTTCTTCCTGGAATCAATTTAATCCTCCACTCCTGCAGCTTTTTGTCTTTTTACAATCAAGTTTCCAGAACGAGAAGCTGGTTTTGCTGGATTTTAGGGTCACGTACTTTGATGTTCATCTTAGTTATTCTCACCTGTCTTGAGCTGTAGGTGAATGTGGGGAGAGCTGATCCAGGTCGCCACGGGAACCAGAACCGCCTTGACCAGCGGGGTGTGCTGCCTAATGTCAGACAGCAGTTTGTCAAAGCCATAAACGTTCAGAGCTTCGACAACCATGGAGGAAACGTAGACGGTTTTCCCGCTGGTCACGTAGTAACCCAGAGTCAGGTTGTGGGGGCTGCAGTCGTCTCGCTCCACCTGTGACGGAGACATGTTTTCAGGTTTACACTTTGCAGCATAAACGAACACTGAGGATTTTAGAAAAAGCTAACTTTTAATACGTTATGTCACCTACTCACTTGCTTACAAATTATTGCTTTTACAAATGCAACAGTGCCACATTTTTAGCTAAAAAATTCCTAGAAAATGAAAGGAGCTGAAGCATTTTTTAACGGCTTACTGTTTCACTAAGGTATATACATTTGGGCAACGTGACATTTCCACATCAATGATTATATTAGATGCAGTAAGTGTGCATTTTCCTTCTCTCTGTTTCAGCTGTCATTGAAGTGTCCATTTTGAACTCAGGTTTGTGCTTCTGCCATTATAAAACTTCATTCATCTGTGGTGCTATGTTATTGGCCTGAAAAGTGCAAACCCCTGACACCTGAAATAAAACATCCAATAAATGTTGCAACCCTAGCCTGGTGCAATATTAATATTGCACCAGGTGGTACTACACTGAGGATTTGCAATATATTGAGCAGCACTAGCATAATCTTAACCTCTTCTCAAAATAGGACTGCCATTCATTGAAGGCAGTGCTGTGTTATTTTCCATAAATGAAGCAAATCACATAAGAAAAAAAGAAGCAACCAGAAGTCTACTCTTTCCTACTATCACAAATGCAAACAAAAAGTTATTTTCTTTGGTATTATTATTTTTGGCACATTTTTTATTTGCGAGAATACACATGATAGCAAAACCGACTAATTTAGCACAAATCGACAATACATCTATGCAACCATCTACATTAAACACAGAGTCATCTATATTGTTTATTAAACTGGTGTTTATTTCTCACATGTTCTACATGTAATAAACACTTTGTAAATTATTACAAGGAAAGATTCATGAAGAATGTATCTGAAAAAAATGTTTTTGAAGCAACTAAGTGTTATAAATGCATCTTGTCTTGAATTCAGTGAATAATTATTTCAATAATTATATAACTGTTTATTACTGTATTACTTCTCCTTTAATCAGAGGGAATTAAGACTGCTTTTTAAGTAATGGACACTTTAAGCGGATCCTGCGTTAAATAGATGATGAATAAATGGAAAAGCAGAATATTCCCACTCGACAAGTGAGCCAAGCTGAAGAGAAAACAGTGAGATTATCAAACTGCTTTTAAAATGTAATTTTATTTTAAGGCTGTTTGCACATCTTTACCAGAAGTTTACATAAATGTGGGTTAGAGAAAAACATGCTTGTTTTGTCTTGGAGATATTGTACTGCTATTTTATCCAAGGAATATGAGCAGTAAAACAAAAAAAAAAAGACAACTTTAGTGCTAACATCTGAAATTGTCATGTTCCGTGTTTCTGTGTGTTTATTTTTGAGTTTCTGTGTAGTCCTGTGAGTCTGTCTTCCCTGTTGATTGCTCCCAGCTGTATCCCGTTCCCTGATTACCTTTCCTGTGTATTTAACCCCACCTGTTGTCTTTGTCTGTGTCGGATCCTCGTCGTATGTATTGTGGTTTGTGTTTGTTCCGTCTAGTCCGTTTGACAGTTGCTACCGGTATTTAGCTGTGTGCTTGCCTCTCGCCGTGCTGCCTGTCTTGGACTGTTTTTGAGCTTATCTCTTCATTAAACCATCATCATCACCATAACCTGGGTCTCAGCGTCTCTCCTCACCACCAACACCTCACACCTTATGACAGAAATAGGCTCACAGAGCTGTCCTGTCAAACAAGGACAGCTTTAGATTTGAAGGCACAAGCGTCAGTGTATGAATATTTATAATTCTTGGTTTCATTTCAGTTTAGCCCTGCATTAAGAACATATTTCAGCTGGATTCTTCAACAGTTAGACTTTTGGCCATATCCTGAAGAAAAAGAAAAAAAAGAAACGCACACAGACAACAACTGTGGTGAGTCAAAGGCTGTATTTCTGGAACTTAACACCACCCACCTTCATGTACCCTCAACCTTCAACCACACTGAGTAGCTGAGGTTGTTGTTGTTATGGATTTTTTCCTCTCTCTCTCTCTTGCTCTCTCTCTCTTCTCTCTCTCTCTCTTGCTCTCTCTCTCTCTCTCTTGCTCTCTCTCTCTCTTCTCTCTCTCTTGCTCTCGCTCTCTCTACACAACCATCTTTTCCTCTCCTCTTTCTCTCCCTGAGCGTAAGCTGGCTTCTCCTGGCTGATCTTTTTATCTAAAACAGACATCCTCTCTGAATGAAACTGTATCCCAGCACCTCTCCTTATGCAGAGTCCAAGTAAAAGCTTCAGCCTCAGTTTTTTTTTTCCAAGCAACTCTTTAAATATTTTTTCAATTATGCTCAGTTACATATCCATAAAGCCACCTTTGGGTTTTGCATTTCATCAGAAAACACAAAACAGTGCAGTTGGATCTTGCATTTGAAGTCTAAACTAAAATGTAATGAGCATAAAATTAAATATTGACTGTTTCTTTCAGATGTTTTATTTTTGTCTGTAGGGGGGGTGTTTGTGTTAATCTCCTTGTGTTTTTTTTTTACACCGGCAGCTCGAAGGGAACACAGTGAAGAAAAAACTGTGTTCTGATTCACCAAAAAACTGAATCAGTCAACCCTGACATATGATCCTATTTAACATTTTTTTATTGTCTAATGCTGCTGAGCTCTTGAGGCTTTCGACCTTTTTAGATTTGATAAAAAATGTGTTGATTTTTTTTATTTCTATTTCTACTGTTTGTTTTTTGAATTTTGGATTTTTTTTTTCAGTTCTTTTAATGAACTGCTTATTTATACTACATGAGTCCTTATCTTAGTTCCTTAGTCTCCACAATATTTTTTTCTTATTTGTCCATTTCATCCCTTTTTTTAATCTTGTTTACACTTTAGCATTTGTCAAGCTGTCCATGTCTATCAACCACAAAACTCAGGGAGCTAAATAATGTGTGCCTTTCATGTGAAATGATATTCTCAAACTTATACTTGGTTTCAGTAAAGGCCCATGGTGTCAATGATACTTTAAATTATTGACATGATTGACATTAAAATCTGCTTTGCATGCTTTAATAGCATGAAATAGGAGAGAAATATTTAAAAGATCAGTAAAAATGACTTCATGTTTCCCTTCTTTATATCCATTCTATGTTACGTAATAAACCACTTGCTAATTAAATAGAAACCGCCAGTGCGAAAACTACAAATACTAGACGGCAACACTAAAATGTTAATACATTTTGAATTTCTAAACTCCACGTTAAAGCTGATTGCTTAACCTTTGTTTTGCATTTCTGAAGAGGACTGCTGAATTTAACAAAGGGAGCCAGAACTGACCTCCTTTGGTCCCTGCCAACAGCTGACAGCTGTAAAACTGCCCAGTTTGGTAAGTAATTATGGCTAACAACATTGTTCAATGATGCAACACATTAAGCATCGCTGCATGCTAATTTCATGCTGTTTAACAAACCCGAATCACGTAGGGGGCAGATTTTGCTCATCAACATTGCTACAGCATCCAGGCGCTTTAAGAGCTGAACTGTTTCTATTTCCTGTTCGGTGTTTTTCACCCTCGACAGATTAATTTTGACTATCAAACCGCAGTCTAGGTTTTCAGATGGAGAAGATGAGAGCTGAGGAATGTGTCTGTGTGTAGCAGGGGGTAGATGAAAGTGCCGTGGAGCTTAGAGATACTGAGTCACTCCCCGCGAAGGCTCACAAACAACTGGATAAAAATAGCAAAAGCAGGCGGATGAAGACGGAAGACGGACAGAAAGTGAGATGAAGAGAGGCAGGTGGACAGACAGAGGCGGACAGACGCAACGAGCCAACTAGTACAACATTCAAGACGGACATGTTGGCAGAAAATCGATCTACTTGGACCGAGGGTGTAATCTCATCAGGAAGATGAAGGGGGAGAGCAATACGAGAGATGTAAATATTGAAATATACATGAAAGGAAAAAGCTGATAGTGATGGTTTGAGAGGGAGGGAAGAGAAGATGGAGATGGAGCCATGTGGTTGACACAGGATGAAAACAAGCATTATGTAAGAGTGGCAGTGGGATGTGGGAATAGTCTCCCTAAATGAACTCGATATCGCCTAATAAATCATATCCATTTGTCACCTCTCCCTATATTTATCTCCTGCACCGTTCATGAGTCTTTGTCAGGTAAAAAAAAAAGAAAATCAACACCTACAACTTAAATATAGAAGACACCAGTACTCAGGACAGACACACCAGCGAAATGGCTTAAAATAAAACAGAGATTTTTTTTTTTTGGGGGCGGGGGGGTTATCTCAGTAGAATTAAATGGAAGCTATTTGACCAAGCACAGCAGCAGAGAAATGTCACAGGAGACAATAAAGAAAAAAAAACCTCATAAACGTAAAATTTGAAGTTATGCATAAAAGGCAAAAATAAGCCCATCTTTACGCTCCTTGAGTCATCAAATGCTGTCCAATCCCAGCAGCTGTTCCTCTTTGGATCTTCAGTGTATGTAAAAATAAAAGCTTTTACAGGAGTTCTGGATCCTAGTAAAATGCTCTAGTGGCCATTTCACTGGGGCACTTGGACTACGCATTGCACTCAGAGCTTCCCAAGCTGATAGCGGAGAGCTGAAAAATGTATAAAAAGATGAAAAAAATATTTCTTTTATGACATAACTAGTTCGTTCTCCAGTCAATGAGGGCTCTAGAGAAGGCTTATGGCTGAGGTAAGATCAACACAGATGTTACTTCTCATCAAGTTTTATGCCTTCCAGTCATTTATTCTTAGAAAAATAATTAGCTGGTGAGAGATTTACATCTGCAGTTTGTGGGCAGGCATTTTGACTAGCCAATCATATTCTGATTTGTGGTCAGTGGCTGGTCTTTTATGGTAACAATTATCGTAGGGGATGTCACTTGCGAAAGCTTCATATTGATACATGTATGGATTTGGTTACGTATGTATGTTTTTTGTTTTTTTTTGTACAGTTTGATGATGGAGGTATAACCTACCTTATTGAAAAATAACTATTTTTGACCAGTAAAGGAAACAATGAAATATAAAACAATCTCAAACTGATCACATTAAAAACTGTTTTACACTTTGGCTTTCCTGTGCTATTTATCTGAAATAGATATTACTGAAAAGTTATTTTCCTGTTCCCTCCAGTGATACCTTTTATTTAGATAATAATGTTTCCGCAACACTGCATGTGCTCGCTAGTTAACAACCTGTATTCCGAAGCCATTTGCAAAGTTTTCTAGCTTCTGCTATGCTTTTATTTGACATTTCGCTGAGTCACCCTAAGCTTCATAACACAGAGATATTTCCGTCCTCATGAAATATTCTCTTTTTAGTGTTTTGTTTAGCAGAAAAAAAAACTGCAGATTGTGTTTTCTGCACAATATGCTGTGCAAATTTTGGTTTGCAAATTTTACAGAAGAGAAGATTAGTGAGTATTTTGCAGTTTTTATTGTACACTTAACAGCACTTAGTTTACTTTTGATTGATACTGCAAAGTCTCAATCAATCAGTGGGTTTGTTCTTAAACCCATTGATCATGTGGGTTTGTCACAGGATCATGACCTTTTGATTATCAGTGAAAAGCCGCTCGGCGTACACGAAGCCGCTGGAAACACTGACCTGCGCAGAGGCTTTGGAGTCGTTCAGGGCTCTCTGCAGAGCATGGCTCAGTCCTTTAGAAAGGTTCTGCTTTAGGATCAGGTCCAGGCGATTCCTACGCAGCTCCATAGACAACACTGTAAAGATTTAAAGAAAAAAGGATAAAGTAAAGAAGCTCAGTACATAATAAAGCTGGTTTGGATTTGCCTTGTTTTTTAGCAAGAGCATATCACCAACTGGATTATGACCACAACTGTTTTTCAACAAGCCGATTTTCTACACACAGTCCAGCCGAGTAATGGCTCTCCAAATCATCCCTAACCAGAAATACTTCACAATGGACCTCAAGGGGCTTAGTTCATGACTTCAGACTACAGTCTTCTTGCGTCTGAATGACATAACATACATGTATACAAATATGTTCCTCTGCCAATTGTTAGGTACTGAAAAGAAAATGGGTGAAAAAGCAGCTAACACCCAAAAATAAGCTTTGAAACATCTTCAGAAAGCTTTAACAGCTTTTCACCAGAATCACTTTTAGACATTTTGCTTGTATTCAAAATGTGAAGAAAATCACTGATAATTCAAGATTGCACTGCAGTGTAATTTAAGAACATGTAAACTATTTCAAAAACGAGATAATATTCATTGTAGATTCAAAGTCTCCTACCCGTTTTGACCCAGAACTTCTCCGTCACATTGCATGGCATTGGCATTTCCTCAGCGCTGGTGGTGGAGGGACTTTGTGTGGTTGTTGTCAGAAGTGGTGTAGTTTGAACTGGGATGAGCTTAGTGGTGGTGGGTGCTTCTGTTGTGGTGGTGGTAGTAGTAGTTGTTGAAGTGGTGGTGGTGGTAGTGGGAGCAGCAGTAGTAGTTGAGGCAGTGGTGGTTGTAGTGGGAGCTGGAGTGGTGGTGGTGGTTGAGGTGGGGGGGGTAGTAGTTGGGGGAACCGTGACTGTGGTGGTGGCGGTGGGGGCTGGCACGGTCGTAGAGGTCGTTGTTGGAGGTGTCGCGGTTGTTGCGACAAAGAGCCTCGTTTCCTCTGTGGGTGCAGCGGCTGTGACGTTCGATAGAGAAGCCTCTGTGCTCCCAGGAGTCGCTGCCTCCTGTGTTGCCATCTCTGTGCTATTAACAGTAATGCTGGTCGTTGAGGGTGTTGTTGTGGTTACTGTTGTCAGCTGAAGGCTGCCGTCGGTCACAGTGTCCTGGCTGGTGTTATTTTGGGCCGTGGTGGATTCTGGTGGTGTTTCTGTTCTCTTCGTAGTAGAAAACGACACAGTTGAAGTGGTGGTTGTCGACAGGGTTGTCTTTATGGTCGTGGCTGCTGTGGTTGTGTTTTGTATGGGGATCCTGGGACGCACAGGCATGGTGGTATTCCACTGGTGGGTGGAGAAAGGGCTCGTTACATTGGGAGGAAGTGTGATATCATGGTCACCCACTGTGGACAGGAGAGATTCAGGTACAGTGGGAAGATCCCACGCTGGTAGGGCGCTCACTAATTCATCTGAAGGGAAAAAGAACATGGATAAGTCAAAAAAAAAATATTAAAGCATTTCTAAATACAGTGTTTTGCTTCAGATATGTTCAGAAAACCCTGCTGAGTACGAAAGGCTTATTGATTTAAAATGTCCTGGTATTTTACATACTTCATGGACTCTAACAAAGCTTCCAAGGAGAGAAGAGAAGTAAGTCCATAGCATTACAGATGCACAGATGTTCCACCATACTCTGAAGTGGTCACCAGGTGACCACATATTCATCCATTGTTTCATTCCTGATTCCCCTGTAGAGTTTGTTGAAGAAAAGCTAGAACGAAGACACCTGTGAAAAGGTTGTCACCAATACGTGACCTTAAATTATTTTTATCACAGACAAAGAATCCTAATCAAGATTTTCCTTCTTGCCTTTTTTTTTTGTCTTTCCCTCAATAGGACCTGAACCTTTGAGGAAAAGGAGAAAAACAGGTTACTTTTAATTTCACGGGCCTCTGTCTCTACTTTCCAGCTTACGTACTTACCCTTTAAATGTGTACCTATCTAACAATTTCCAAGTCTGTACTTATTTCTTGTATTTCCTCATTGCTGAACAACTATGCAGTGACACAAACCTATCAAACCTCAGTTGTCACTTGTATTTGATTTAAGTAACGTAAAATATATTTTTTTAAAGTTGGTAGTTTTTAATTCCCTACAGAATATTGAATATTAACATGTCAACCTGAAAGACACTTTTACACTTGGATTGTGACTGCAAATGCACGAGGCAGGCTACCTTTCATTTTCAAAAACACCTCCAGATTCAATCGTATCCCCCCCACAATGTCGTCCCAGCAGGGGGCCCAAGCAATCTGGTTTGTGAAATCATTTGAAATGCTTGGAGACACACTACTTTTCTCCTGCACATTCTTCAGAAAGCTAAATATTTGTGTAATAATTACCTTATTATTGAGGCGAAAACAGACACAGGAAACAGAGAGGGATGGAGACTACAAAATGGGACAGATGATGATGATGATGATGATGATGATGATGGTGGTGGCGATAAGTCTAAGATGATAAAATGATATACATGATGGTGACACTGATGAAATGTTAGAGGTGACGATTTACTGACAATAAAGCTGAAAAAAACACTGAGTTAAATTCAGGTCAGTTAATTCAATTAAAATTAATTGTTAATATTAATCTATTGAGATTAAATCACTGTTAAAAATTACAATTGGTCATGCAGAAATGATGGATGTCTGCGGGTCTCGTTGCTGAAGCATTCAGCAACGAGACCTCCATGTGTTTCCCAGAGAAGCTGCTGAGGCGACTGAAGCATAAACTGAATCATGTCAACTGAACTGCAATTATTCTCAGACACGTCTTCTTCAGTTTGCTAAATCCTGATAATTACTATAGAAAAAGGCTTGGTTAATGATTCATTCTGTTACAAAACACTAAAAAAAACAGCAGCGTGTCATTGGGGTTTTATTTGACAAACCAACACTGACATGTTTTCCGATAAATATCTAAATCTGTAAATTTTATCACATTATTAGATGATGGATTAAGCGGTGTTACGTGAATTTTCTACAGCTTATGATATTGTTTATCCCTGCTGTGCTCTGTCACTAATGTTCTCCAATAAAGCTGTGAGGCTTTCACTGACGAGCTAAATTCAAATTGAGTTTGCACACAGGGAACGCAGCCATTTTAAATTAAATGTCTGTAATAAATGCTAATTAAGGGCTTCAGATTAAAGGGGCTGAATATACTAATAAATTTTTTAAGACTTAGTTGTTAAAAAATACTTTAAACCATTTATCCTTTTCCACTTCACAATTACTGTATACCCTACTTTCAGTTGGTTGGTCATAAAATCCCAATAAAGGATTGTGCCTCTGCTTTGCTAAATTGTGAAAATTCAACTTAAAACTTTTTCCAGATAACTGAAAAAATATTACCCACCCAAACTATAGTTGGTTGAAGAGTTGTTGTTTCCAGTAACCACAGACAAATTGGTCGATGGTGGAGTCTGACTCGGTTTTTTACTGGATGGAGAGGAGGGAGGAGAGGATGCTTTTGTTGTGGAGGAAGATAAGGCCTTGGATGAAGAAGAGCTTTTAGACCAAGCCGCTTTAGACAGCAGCCCTAAAGGTTTTCTGACTGCTGGAGTCTGCAGCTCTGTCGTCTCAGTCAGCATGCTGAGAACCGATGAAAGGGCCGCCTGCTCCCTTTGGACCTCTCCGCTTGTCCTCAGCTTCTCCTGCACAAGCATGGGAGCCGGATCTTCGGGCACGCTTGGCAGCGCTTCCTCCTCTGCGTCGTCAACCGGCCTCCATCCCGCTTCAGCCCACGCTCGAGTTTCCGTCATAATCCCGGCCTCGGCGAAGACTTTTCCATGTGCTCCCGCGCGCACTCCTTCCTGCGTTTCTGTCCAAATTGCAGTTTTGGCCTCGGCAAACACTTTTCCCTCAGGCCAACGTCTGAGTTCAGCATCAGGACCTGCTCCAGGAGCAACATCTTTAACCCCATCCCTGTCTCTAAATCCAGGAGTCAGGATCGGGGGCACTGTGGGGTCCAGAGGTATGTCACTGTTCTTCATCGACACATAATGGCCTTCCTCAGCTGCGAGAGAGAGAGAGAGAGAAAGAGAGAGAAGGAAGGAAATTCATGTTTAATTGTGGCAGTTTGAGTCATCTGTCAGAAAGGAGACAAAGTGACTCACTTCAGCACACACATCTGGAAACCTTGAATCATTACTCCTCATAAGGTCATTCCTACTGTCCAACTGTCAGTGGATTTAAACTTGCTCTGCTTGCACACGGACTCTTGAGGAAAATACATACACACATACCCCTGCCTCAGACATGCAGATCCAAAAGGATTAAAACTGTGACTGCTGGAAAAATAGTAATACTGTCAAAAAATAGGTCACTTATGTTTTAGAGGATAAAGCATGAGGAATTAATTTTTATGTTCCAGGATCCATAAATTAGGACACAAATGCACCCTAATCAGCCGTGATTTCACAGAGATACTAATCATATCCCTTAGGTTAGCCACACAGGCTTGTGAGTTTATTGTTTCCAGAGCAAACACAAAAAGCATGGCCCTTGGCTCGGATCGACAACAAATGAGGACGGAACTTGTTCTTGAAGCAAAATGGAGGTTTTGGCTATTTGTGGGCCACAGAAGTCATTTTTCATTTTGTAAATACTGAAAGACACATGAAAGTGGAGCAGGAAAGAGAATTCATCCTGTCAATGAATTTAACAACGTACACATGATGAATTTTGAAAATGTGACTTGACTGAATGAGACAATAAAACCCATCTAACGCATTCAGTCTCAATCGTACCCTGAGTTGGTGGGACTGAAACATGAGAGAATGCAAAGCTGACCTTACTCAAAGTTTATTAATTGTCTCATTTGGACTGAAAATCTTATTAAAGCTTCAACAGGAAACTCCAATACAAATAATACAGTTTTTTTTACATATTTGTTAAAACTGTCCACTGTGGCTTGACAATAGGAGGCAGATAATCTGGGAAAAAATTCAAGCTTCTCTGCTTTCTTCCTGTGGTTTTACTGCCATCGGTAGAAATTCACCGCTCCAAATATCAAGATTGATACATGATTTTCAAAACATTGTATAAAAAAAAAACAAAAAAACGTATAATCCATCTTTTCTGTGAAGGTATTACAGGATTGTTTGGGAACAATAGTGAACAAAGAGCATCATGAAGACCAAGAAACACAGCAGACAAGTCAGATAAAAAGCAGTAACAAGTTTAAAACCGGGCTAGGTATAAAACAGTATTTCAAGCTTTGGACATCCTAGAGAGAACAGTGCAATCAATTATCTCTCCGACACCAAGACCAGTACACAGACAGGTTGGGCCAGCAGAACATTAATCAGAGAAGTAGCCTAGTGGGAGAATATGACTAACTATTAGGTATGCATATCACACAGCTGACCTTTCCGTAAGATTGGCAAAACGAAATCCATAAAAAAATCCTATTTGCAGTTTGCCACAAGCCATGTGGAGGGCATGGCAAACCTGTGAAAGGAGGTGCTCTGCCCACATGAGACCAAGCTTGATGTCCAAAGACGGTAGATGTGAAAAGAGCAAAACAAACTACATGCCAAAATCCCTATAAAACCTTTTAAAGTTTGTTGCAATGTGACTCAATGTGGAAAAAGTCCAGGGAGTATGGAAACTTTTGCAAGGCACCATAGAATCTGTATTTAAAATTTCAACACCTCATTTCCTTTTGTAAATGTGTCAATGCGCGCCAGTGTGTCGCACACATTTCCCACACTCCCCGAGTCTCTGCAGAGGATCGGTTAATTAAAAGGAAGTGAATCTGAGCTTGAGAGACTTTGCAGAACGAGCTTTGTGCCTTGCTGCTGCACATCCTCTGGAAACTTGCTATAAAAACATTTTAAACATCACGGCATTAATTATCATCACTGAGCAATATGTCCCTCGCTACACCATGTCATATTATAAATGCTATTAGAAGAGGAGACTAATCCACCGACTGTTTGCGGTCGGGCTTCTTTGGGCTCAGAGCAGTGTTTTAGTCACTTCTAGGGAGTAGGAACAGACGAAGTTAGAAATGACAGGGGCAACAAGCTCAGGGCAATACGGGGTAAGTAACATGCCGGCTAAATTTAACCTAAAAGTCATCCTCCTGCTAATACAGATTCATCAGATATGCTTTTTCTTTAATAATTTAATATGAAAAAAAGGCACAAAAAGTAAAAATTTTGGGGAAAGAAAACAAAACTGTTCTGCATTTCTTAATATTATGTATTTGTTCAGACTACAAATACCAGTAGTCTGAACTTAGCACAATATTTAGCCATGATATACTGCTCAAAAAAATAAAGGGAACATTTCACTTTAATTTTGTGTGTGGCTCCAAATCCAGGCCTCCACTGGTTAATAAATTTGATTTCCATTGATGATTTTTGTGTGATTTTGTTGTCAGCACATTCAACTTTGTACAGAACAAAGTATTCAATGAGAATATTTCATTCATTCAGATCTAGGTTGTGTTATTTGAGTGTTCCCTTTATTTTTTTGAGCAGTGTAGTTGACTGTATTTCTCTGTGCTGAAGGGGGAATGATCATGTGACTCAAGGTTGTCAGCCAGACAAGAAACATGGCTCTAACAGAATGCTAGTGTTGCTTTGTGTCTGCTCAAGGGAACGACTTTTCAGGTTCAAACAGATAATCAGTAATAATAATGTCTTCCATTGTCTCTATGACATTAGTGATATTCCGTCTTGGTCATGACAGCAACTCCTTCAATAGCCAACAGTCTGTTTCCAATGGGAATAGTCAATTAAAGATGAGGATAAAGCAGTGACGAATGGATAAATGGTGAAGATAATTGAAGGAATCGATGGAATGAAGGACTGTACTGTAGGGAGGATTGTTGGGATTGTTTGCTCAACCAAAAGCCACCTGCTCTGGCTGAGAGCAGCATATGCGACTCCACTTTCAGACCTCTGAGGAAGCACTAGGAAGGAGGAAGCTCTACTGAGATGAAATATGGACAGGATGGATGGATTGTGGAGGAGAAAGGGTGGATTAAAGGTGGACAAATCTGGATCTGAAGTGCATTAGCTTTTTGGACAAAACATGAAGGCTATATTTTGCCTATTTCCATGTGAGAACATTCGGCTTACACCAGATTATGAGAATCACGGCACAGAAATGATGCACAAAGCACTGCAGGCCATTTACAACGCTTTTAAGCTGGAGTCATATTATGCCTTGACCAAGGCGTCTTGCCAGCTGGATGCGACGATGCCCCACTGTATCTCTGCAGCTGCCAACACAAACCTGTAAAGCCTTTTACAGCTCAGTGCAAGCCATCTGAATATTCATATATTTGTCTTTTTTCGGGTACAGTTATTATTGCGCTGGTCAATGTTTAATGTCGGAGTGCGTGAACTTGTGCAATTTCCTTCCGTCTTTTTCAGTTTGAGCCAAACAGAGCTGGTCCGAGTAGACCGCTACAACAGCGAGCAGAGGAGGTCAAGTGCCAAACACACAGGAAGTGTGAAGGTAGAGCTGAGCCAAAACGGTCGGGGCTGTGAAGCTCTGAGAGAAAAAGTGAGGAGGGGGAGTGTGGTTGGTTCAATCTGCCAGATAGCCATCTGGTGTGGGCAGGTTTTCATTTCAATAATTAGTATTCCACACAGCAGACAAAAATAATCTATATCTTAATCACAGAGCCGTGCCAGTTGAGATGCATCTACAACTACGCCAGCTTTTCTGGTATGATTTATGACAACAACCTTCAGTACAGAGGGTGTCACATAATTCATGCATAAAACCGTGGATTCAACACTTTAGTCAAAACAAAAATAGAGAAATGAAGCACAGGAAGCAATAGCACCTTTTTGCAGCAGATGCAGCTATTTTCTTTTCTGTATATTCATCTATTTCAAGGATGCATGAGTAGTAATTTGGTGGGGGGGAAAATAAGAAAAAAAAAAGGCATTTCAAAGTAAGGAGATTGAAAGTTTCTTTCAAACATGGCTTTTTGTAACAATGAATCTTGAGAATCGGGGATCTAAGCTACATACTAAAATAGATTTTAAACTAAAATGTGTCTAACAGTTCAACTGTTTGTTTAACTCTTGCAGCTCAGAATCATTAATGTTTTTAGTTTGCTCTCTCTCAAAACATTTAACATTTTGAAGACCTGAGAGTCAGACTACATGCACATGGGTATGAAATGGTCTGTTTACTGGTATGATACTTGAAGAATGTTTAAAAGTCTGGCAATAAAAATTTACATCCACATCATTGCAAACAATACTTGTTACCCTTAATCATATGACTTACCCAATCCTAAGCTAAATTCACACCCTTTATGTCAAGACACGCATGCTACAAAAATCTGGTTGCATGATGAGCAACACACATCACTTACACATACATAGTGCTAAAACATTGTTGTCTAGATAAAATGGCTTTAAAACAAATACAAAAATGACCACATTTCCAACCTCTATTAAAAGATTTGCGAAGATACTCAGGATTTTATGTGAATAAATCAGTTAAGTGTGTTTTACATTTTTCCACAGTATTTCAAGCTACACACAGTTTAGCTAGAGTAGCAGTCCTGATGGCAGGTTGGAGCACTGAAACATGCCATGGTATGAGAATCAGTGGGTGAAATGTCCTTTGGCAGATTATTTTGTTAGGCCGTCCAACAGGATGGACAGTAATAACATTTTCCTGGAACTATTCAAGGCCATCCATCCATCTGTGGAGGCAGAAAACAATTTAAAAGGATTAGTTAATAAATCAATATAAACTGCTCAAAAAATAAAGGGAACAACCAAATAACACATCCTAGATCTGAATGAATGAAATATTCTCATTGAATACTTTGTTCTGTACAAAGTTGAATGTGCTGACAACAAAATCACACAAAAATAATCAATGGAAATCAAATTTATTAACCAATGGAGGCCTGGATTTGGAGCCACACACAAAATTAAAGTGAAATGTTCCCTTTATTTTTTTTGAGCAGTATATTTGAAATTTTACAAGTGGACGATAATGAAGGGAATAAAAAGCATAATTTTACTACCAGAAAGAAGTACTAGAAGGTTTAAAGAGCCATTTT